ATCCGGCGGGTCAGGTTAGTTTTACGCGCAAATTACAAAAAAGGCGAATAAAACTGAGACGAACAGGTGGATGGAACAGGTATTTGATTGTAATCCAAAGTATTGGACAAATTCTGACCTGATGGTGCTTGATAAGAGGTTCAGGGATCACCAACGTTATTATTACAATTCACCCTGAGGGGGACATGAATGTCTGTACCAAATTTTTATGGCAATCCATCCAATAGTCCAAGACATTTCACCACAAATTATAAACATTAACCTGCTACTGGCTCTAGAGGAAAAGACAGGGGATCACCAAAGATGGCTGGATTCATCCTCTGGGTACCATGAATGTTTGAACAAAATGTCAAGCCTATTAGGGGTTGAGATATTTCTGTCTGGACCAAAGCCGTAGACTGACTGACTGTTTGAGTTGCCAGGTTGCATCAAAAGCAGTGTGCAAATGAAAGGGGGTATCAAAGGTTTGGACATCTGATACTCTCTGTATATTGATTGGTTACTGTACGAGTGTGTGCTGCTGTGCACTAAAGTTTGTGTCCTGTCAAACTAATAAAGCCTTCAACCTGAATATGAAGGAGGGATTAAAGAGAGAGACAGGTTTCTCTCCTCGTGTCACTATGGAGACACTCGCTGACTTCACGGAGGCACCAGTTAATATGTAACACAGAGACACACAAGGCCATAAAGCAGTTCATACAGTCCTCTTCATGTTAAAAGAGACAAACTAGAAGAAGAGAGCAATCATTGCATGTGCTTGCTGTGTCTTCGGTAGTAAAACCCTCAGTAAAACCAATTACTGTGATTCTGTGGTTTTTACAAGGAGATGTCTAAATTAGAACTGAAAGGATTAGTCGATCGGCAGCTATTTTAATAATCAAACAGTCGTTTGTCATTGTTCAAGAAAAATTATTCTATTGTTCCAGCTTCTCCATTGAGAGCAATTGTTGCTTTTCTCAGTTTTGTATCATTGTAGACTGAGTAACTTTGGGTTTCGGACTGTTGGTCAGACAAAGCAAGACATTTGAAAAAGGCTTCAGGGAAATTGTGATGGGCATTCATTTTCTGGCATTTTATAGACCAATAGATTAATGAAGGAAAAACAATGCAATAATATCATGTCAAATCAAAAATGAAAAACTCTTATTATAAAGTTTTTTCTTTGCATCTGTTGGGTGTTGATGTTTACTGGCCACTAGGAAGTAGTTCAGATCGCCGAGTTCCCCTTTGGATCTGGTTAATTATGGAGTTCTTCTATCAACGGAACAGGCTTCTCATTTTTAGCCCACTGTGCCTGTTGCTCGTCAAGTTGCATTGTGGGTAATGTATGACAGCAGCAGCAGTCTCAACCACAATTACACCAAAAACTGTGTTTCTGCCTTCTAAGCCAAGAAGGTGATTATAACTCTTAGAGTTGGAGATATCTTAGCTTTTAGTTGACATTATTAAAATATACAGTATATAGAGATCCCGATATAAGAGAAACGAAGAGATTTGGATTTGATGAAATGCTACTGACCCACATCCCTACTGGCCACACAGTGTGTTGATGGCGCCACTTTGACCTTAAGACACCTTACACTTACAGTACCCCCAGATCGACCAGCGCCACCTCCCACTGATTTCACTTTGTCACGCTTAACTCAAACTAACAGCTCTGTAAGCGAGCGGAAAACTGACGTTGGATTGACAAGACAATTGATCTGGGAGGAGTCGCTACGGCTGCTGGTGGCCCGACCTGCTCCGTCTGGCCGTCCCGTGAGCTCCGTCGCCGGTCTGTCAGTCTGTTGTGCTGTTTAAACAACTGCAGTCAATCCATCCCGCCGTCCTGACTGCATGTATGGAGGCAGACTCTATACAGCAACGCTGCCGGCCTTTTGTCACTCTGACTGCCATTCACTCTCTGCGCGGCGTTCTGCAGCTGCTTCACACAGCAAACGACGCTCTGGAAACAGAGAAGTGTCTCGTTCTCCGCTCACCATTGTGCTGCTGAATGTTTTCGGACCTGAGGGTTACGAAGTGGCGGAGGTGTCTGTGTCAGTGGAGGGACTGCCCGCTCCGCGACGCCACGATTTCGCACAACAATGCGCTTTTCACACTGACCCCTGGCTGGAAAATAGGCTTAATGTCCGCACCGCAGCACAGCGGCCGACTGTTTACCTTCCTCACACACACACACACACACACACACACATAGTCCTCCGCCGCGGAGTGTAAAGTCACAAAAGCCGTCACAGCTTGATGTGCGGTGTGACCACGCGAGCTGACACGCGACCCGTGAGCCATTTATGTGTGTGTGAGCGAGTGAGCGTGCGAGTGTGAGGCCAAAGACGACACACTTAAAAAGAAGTTGCGACTTGGCTGCAGGGCCTCATGGGTAATCCGGTTTGACGAACGGGCAGACGGGGCAGACAGACAGGTGACCAGCGATAACGTGTCACACCGATGCCATGGTGACGAGACGACGGTCGCGTGCGTGTGTGACCGTGTGACCTCGCCAAATTTATGGATGGCTTGTAACGTCTCTGTTGCAGTGGACATAGAAAAAAAAAAACGGAATGTAAAGCGTGTTTTGTGTGAGTTAAATCCATACACACAGCACTCTAACATTTCTATTGTGTGTGCAGTGTCAGCCGGGCGACGCCCACTACGGTGCACCTGGGAAACTGCGTCTGGGAACTTTGGTAGCAGCGACGTCCAGAACTTGATCTAACTGTCAGGAGGTGGTTGACGCACAAGTTGCCTGAATTCATGCAACCCATGTTGCTTAGTTTAGCTTACTTTCAGCTGAGAGAACAATCACATTTTTAAAAGGCACAAGCTATAAAAACAACACTGACATATTATCACCTTTTAACGTTGTTAGCAAGAAGCGGCCTATTTGCACCTATTTCTAGAACTATTTCTTCCAGAAGAGACACGGAGCCACATTAGCATTCAATTGAAGTCATGTTTGTATCCACCTGATGAGTTAAAGTCCAATACTCACGTTCTTTTTAAAAACTACACCTATAGCTCTTCAGCTGGTGAACGCTCCACTTTCTTCACTTTGTCTGTCTGACATGTGGTGCTGAGCAGGTAGTGTGGTGTGGTTGTTGTTTTTTGTTACAGAAAAAGAGTGATGAGAGTGAAACAAAACAGGAAAGTTTCAGGCCGAAAAACAATAACACAGAAAGATCCTTGAATGCTCAAAAGGGGAACTGCATAGCGGTGATAATTCTCTGTGGGTTTGTTTCTATGAGTGGAGTGATGTCTTTTACATGACATAAAGGCACAAGAAGATGTCAGAAGATGTCATTGTGTGATAGTTTACTAAATGTCAATCTATAATGTTACCTTTAGTGAGCAAACAAAGATGCTTTTGTATTGATAGAAGCTTCTCCAGTTGGTCAAAATATATAATTTTACAGTTTTTTGTTTTTTATGTTGTAACTCAGTAGATCTCATGTCTGTAGTTTTTCCCACTTTGATGTAGAAAAACCTGGACTTAAGGTTCTGACCTTGGGATGAACCAGAACACCTACTCTGATCCAGACCTCAACAGAGTAGGACCTCATTGAAGCTCTTGTGGTTGACTGGGAGCAAATCCCTGCTGGTGGAAAGTCTGACACCAGTAGCTTAAAAGCAGATTAATGGCCACGTTTTTGGAATGACACGTTCAGCTCATCACACACAGGTGCCATGTTTGAACGTCCACATACGTTTGGCCTTCTGATGTACGTTAGCGGAGGTTTTCGTCGTGAGCTAAAGTGAATTGGACACGCGTACGTTTTTAGCTAATCTCTCTTTCAGACAACATGATTCAATTGCTGACAGCACGGTACTGCTGAGTGTGTGTGTGTGTGTGTGTGTGTGTGTGTGTGTGTGTGTGTGTGTG